GGCTTCCACAAGGAAGTGGTGATCAAAAAGACTGAGCCCAGAACGGGCTGAGAGTGTCCAAAGGGAATCAACCAGGCGGAATGACAGTCATCTCTGAGAGGGTGGGGGGCACTGGGAAAGCCCAGCTAAGCCCACGGGGAACTGGATTCTGCTGGGAGCACAGGCCAAGGCTGTAGAGCTGAACCTCTGCGAAGTGGCCCCCCACCATGCCCACTGCAAAGCCGGGCCCCACCTGATGAAGATGAAGATGGCTTTGCGATAGTTGGTCCCATATACAACCCAGGAGGAGCCCAGGAAAGGCCGCAGGACTTCCATCAGGCCTGGGGGCATCTTGTCCATCTCATCGAAGAGGAAGAGGGAGCGGCCACAGGCAGTGAGGTTCCCTTGGACCCAGCTCTTAAGATCCTTCTGTAGGGAAGAGACAGGAGTTCCAGGGGGGGCTGGAGAAACTCCCCCAACCCCAGACCTCTTCCCAAACCAAAAACTAACCTCCTTTCTAGGGAGATGTGGTCTCCCAGAGAGCACCAACCTCTTAGTGAGACTGATGGTGAAACTGTATCCCAGAGAGGGGCAGAGACTTGCCCAAAGCCACACAGCCGGTCAGCAGCAGAACAGGGACTCAAACCCAAGCCTCCCACTTCCCTGTTCAGGGCTCCTTGCATGACACCTGCTGCTTTCTATAAAAGAGGAAGGCTCCTTCCCGCTCCCTGAAACTACACAGCAGTGTTGACAGCTGAAACTGATCAGCCTGGAGGGTACCTTGCAATCAACAACAGTAGTAGTAACAGCCAGTATTTCCCGATGCTTACTCTGAGCCACAAATTGGGGCTGATTTCCAGCAAGACAACAGTGCAGTATATCTGACAAACATAGGTGCTCCATAAATAATATCTGCAATGATATAATCTCATGTCCCTCACAACAACCCTGGCAGGTAGGTACTCCCAGGTTCCTTACTGCCCCAAGGAATCAAAGTACTCCCTGCCAGGTAGAATGGCACCTTCCCAAGTTCTGTGCAGGATGGGTCCTGAGGGCTGGGGCTGCAGCCGGCTGTGTGGCCTGGAGCAGGTGACTCCCCTGTCTGGGCTCAGGACTTACTCCCTAGGGTGGCACCCCATGGTGAGGAGAACAGTGGTCAAGGACGCATCCAGCCTACCTTGTAGCGCTCGATGTGGCTGGGGTGGGGGAAGTGGATGACGGGAGAAAAGTGGTGCACGCGGGGGCTGCGGAGGCCGCCCTGGAAGAGGTAGTGCGCCAGCAGGGAGCTGACATAGGATTTGCCGGTGCCGGTCCAGCCGTGCAGGGAGAGGACCAGCGGCTTGGTGGGGGCAGGGTCGCGCACAAAGGCCTTCAGCGCCTTCACCACCAGCGCCTTGGCCAGATGCTGGCCGGCCAGGTGCTGAGCCAGGTCACACTCCAGACCTAGGGCCACAGGAGGATGGTGAGGACACATCCCACCAAGGCAGAGGTTCAAGGGGAACGTCATGTCTAGAACCTGGTCTGGAACGTCATGTCTGGACTCCTGTGTCCTTACGTTTGTCCAAGCTGTCTATGCACATGGCACGGGGACCTTGGGGTCTGTGGCGGAAAAGAGCCACCTTCGGGCCTGATTCAGCTCGGCAGCGCCCCCACCAGGCAGTCATCTAGATTGCACTCAACCCTAAAAGCGAGCTGTCAACGAGGTCAGCCCCAGCCCCGGCCATCCCCAAGGCGCTCTTCTCCCTTGACGGCCAAGCCATTCCGGGGAGGCCCAAGATCTCCCCCAAAGGGCTCTGCTGGCTGAGGCCTCTCTCCAGGTTGGCAGGGCCTCCTGGACCTCAACGGGTACCCTCCACCCTCGCAAGTCTGCCGGCCCCGCCCCCCGGTCCCACCCTCTGAGTCCTCAGCGGCTCTGGCCGGGGCCAGCCGGGCTCCCAGCGCGCCCGCGTCCGCCCGCCCCTCGCTCCGGGCTCCCTGGCGCCTCACCCGGCAAGTCGGGCCGGAAGTCGCATTCGCAAAAGGCGCCCAAGTTGCAGCGCAGGGAAGCCAGGTCCCAGGCGGCGGCCGCGGCCGAGACCAGCCCGAACAGCCCGAGGAGCGAGCCCCAGGGCCGGCAGCTGCGCGTCACAGCCGCCATCCGGGTGAGGCCCGAGCTCTGTGTGGAGCAGCCAACTGCCGCGCCCGGGAACTGCAACTCCCGGCGTGCAGCGCTCCGCAGCAGCCACGCCCATCGCCTACAACTCCCGACACCCCTCTCCCCGTCTCCAAGGCAGGCCCCGTCTTTCCGCAGCAGGACCAGAAGGTGGCCTCCAGGGGGAACCCGCGAACCGTCCAATCCGGGACGGCGGGCCGCGTTTCCATGGCCACGGTAACTAGGGGACTATCGTAGTAACTCAGAAAGAATAAATAAAGGATTATGACCACAAAGGGCGACGTAACAATTACAGCAAAAACTTGTGCGGAACCTTACACCTTGCAAAGCGCCTTTCCCATGCTCCTTTTTTCTTTTATGTGACAAAAGTGCCCTTGCTAACAGTTTTTGGTGAGCACTTACTCTGTGCCATTAGTGCTAAATGTCTATATAACTTATAATATGGTAATAGTATCTGCTATCCAGAGAAATGGTGGTGTTTCAATGAGATAAAGGCACACAAATTGTTTGGCTCTGAAAGTGATCAATAAATGATTATCAACATTCCGTTGTGTATGAAACAGGACTGTCCCTCACCTAGCAGCAACTGTGGCCAAATGCTTGGCATCAGTTCTAGGAGATGGGTTTTGTTGTTGTCCCCATGTTAATAAGGAGGCATTTGGGACCGAAGAGGTTAAGCCTTTTACTCAATGTCACACAGCTGGTAAACAATAGAACTAAACCCAAGTCTGGCTGCTGCCAGAGCCCTAGTGCGCGGTTGCATGTTATCAGCCTCTCTTGGTCAAAAGATTCAGAAGGCAAAGGACTCCAGACGTTTGAGGTTCAGCGCACAGGATTCCCAGGCCTCCAGCTTGGCCTGGATTCGTTTTGATCCCTGTTGCCCACCTCCCCCTCCCACTGGAGTAAGGGAACCAAGACAACAGCCTTCATGGCCCACCTCAAAGACCCTGTCCCTACCAACCTCAACACATAGTCACACACACACACACACATACACCCCAAGGCTTCGGGGGCCAAATATCAAAGCCTGAAACGAAAGAAGTAGTTGCGGCGGATGCGGTGGCTCATGCCTATAATCCCAGCACTTTGGGAGGCCGAGGCGGATGAATCAACATGGCGAAACCCCGTCTCTACTAAAAATACAAAAATTAGCCGGGCGTGGTAGCAGGCGCCTGTAATCCTGGCTACTCTGGAGGCTGAGGTGGGAGAATCACTTTAACCCGGGAGGCGGAGGTTACAGTGACATAAGTGAAACTCCGTCTCAGAAAGAAAAAGAAAAAAACAAAAAGGGAAGGAAAGGAGGAAGGAAGGAAGGAAGGAAGGAAGGAAGGAAGGAAGGAAGGAAGGAAGGAGAGAGAAAAGAAAGAGAGAAAGAAAGAAAAAAGAAAAGAAAAGAAAAAGAAAATTAGTAGTTTCCACTATCAAGGAGAAAAAAGGAGAGAAGTCTGGGTCCGGGAAGCCAGGTGGAGCCTTTCCCGCTCTGCTGCTGTGACCCGGGAAAAGTCCCTTCTCCTTTCAGGTATCAGTCTTCCAGAGGGGAGTTGGGATCATAGATTTCAATAAGCCCTTCCACCCCAGTTCCTCGGATTTTTGGTTGTGCATTTGTGGGAACTGTTGCCATGGCATCCCGGGGCAGGGCAGGCGGTAGGAGCACTGGGTTGGAATTAGCTGTTTATCTCTCCCACTGGTTTGTGAGCTCCCAGAGAGCAAGGACTGGGTTTTCATACTTGCTGTAACCCTGGCTCCTGGCACAATCTGGACTGTTGCAGGTGCTGAAGAAGTATTTGTTGTGAAGTCCTGATTAGGGAAAATGAGTCATGCTGATAGGACCAGGGGAAAGCAAAAAGAGAAAGCAGATAAGCTCAAAGTCGGCCTTTTTTTTTTTTTTTTTTGAGACAGAGTCTCGCTCTGTCACCCGGGCTGGAGTGCAGTGATGCGATCTTGGCTCACTGTAAGCTGCACCTCCCGGGTTCATGCCATTCTCCTGCCTCAGCCTCCCAAGTAGCCGGGACTACAGGCGTCCGCCACCACGCCCAGCTAATTTTTTGTATTTTTAGTAGAGACGAGGTTTCACCATGTTAGCCAGGATGGTCTCGATATCCTGACCTCATGATCCGCCCACCTCGGCCTCCCAAAGTGCTGGGATTACAGGTGTGAGCCACCACGCCCGGCCAGACGTCTGCCTTCTTGGTGGTTCAGGTCACACAGCCCTCCTGTGCCCAACTTCTCACCAGACACCTGTAGGTTAGCCCACTGCAACCTTGGTGTTATCAGTACTGCAGAAAGCCCTGCTGAGCACACAGCGGAAACACCATCCCATAAAAACTCACAGCCTGTAATCCCAGCACTTTGGGAGGCCGAGACGGGCGGATCACGAGGTCAGGAGATCGAGACCATCCTGGCTAACACGGTGAAACCCCGTCTCTACTAAAAATACAAGAAAATTAGCCGGGCGAGGTGGCGGGCGCCTGTAGTCCCAGCTACTTGGGAGGCTGAGGCAGGAGAATGGCGTGAACCCGGGGGGGCGGAGCTTGCAGTGAGCCGAGATCGCGCCACTGCACTCCAGCCTGGGGCACAGAGCAAGACTCCGTCTCAAAAAAAAAAAAAACCAAAAAAACTCACAGCAAGGCTTTGTCTCTTCGCAGTCAGCTCCTCTTCTGCTGACCTGCCCATCGCTACCTTGCAATGCATTTTCATGCTTTCTCTAGTAAATCTGCCTTTCTTTACCAACAACTGTCTTGGTAAATTCTTCTTACTCCCATGCCACTGGCCCCAGGTACTCGCCACTCGCGCACAACATTTGTTGAATGTTCTACCTTTCACCTGAGAAAAGGTGCTTCCTTCTACCCCAGGAGCCCGAGAGAAAGAATAAAGAGTCATAAAAGTTTATTATATGAAAGAAATAACATGGCTTCTGTACATCTATTTACAGAACACAGAGACTTATTTACAGTGAGACGGAGGCCTTGGTGTGGGTGAGGGACAGACGGAGAGTGAGGAGGCGTGAGCAGCCTGCCTCCCATGGCTCGAAAACAGGGAACCCCAGCAGGAAGGGGAGCAGCAAAAGCTGGTGGGGGAACCGGCGTTCCTGTTCTTCCTCAACGGAGACCTGGTGAGCGTGTAGCAGGTGGGATGGAACCCAGGGTCCACGCAGGACCCTGGAGGTGCAAGGGAGATGCTTGAGTTGAACCCAGAACATTCTCGGGTTGATCACAGTGTCCTTGGGGTGCTCTGGGGAAAGGTCTGTGCCCCCTCTGCCCCTGACGCTGTCCGCAGCTGCAGAGGGGAAACGTCCCTGGGATCACAGCTCGCTGGAGCGGACGGCAGGCTCCAGTTTGTGGGACAGGGCAGTGAGGACCTTGTCGAACTTCTCATAGCGCCGGGCCTGACTGCTGCTGGCACCCTGACTGCCCCAGAGGAGGCGCATCTGGAACTCCGTGCTGAATACCTCCAGGAGCTCTGGCCGGGCCTGGAACCCTGCAGTGTTGGGACATAGGGTCAGGCCAGAGGCTGGGGTTCCTGTCCAGAGCCCTGGCATTCTTCAGAGCCCCCCTGTTAGGGACCTCCCCTCAACTCCGCCAGGGATCCAACAAGGTTTGTGAATCAACATGACCCTGTAGTTTAGCATCTTTGTCCTGTTATTTGCAGCGCATAATTTAAAAATGATTAGACCATAAAATACTAATGTTAAATATGTTTGCAGATTTTTGGTGATTTTTTTCTTTTTTCATATTTTTCTGTTAAGTTCCAAATTATTTCCTAAGAAACATACATAAATTTTAGGCCAGATGCAGTGGCTCACAGCTGTAATCCCAGCACTTTGGGAGGCTGAGGCAGGCGGATCACCTGAGGTCGGGAGTTCAAGACCAGCCTGGCCAACATGGTGGAACCCCGCCTCTACTAAAAGTACAAAAAATTAGCCAGGTATGGTGGCCTACGCCTGCAATTGCAGTTACTCGGGAGGTTGAGGCAGGAGATTCCCTTGAACCTGGAAGGCGGAGGTTGCAGTGAGCTGAGATTGTGCCACTGCACTCCAGTGTGGGCGACAGTGTAAGACTCCATCTCAAAAAGTAAAGAAAAGAAAAGAGGCCAGGCACGGTGGCTCAAGCCTGTAATTCCAGCACGTTGGGAGGCCGAGACGGGCGGATCACGAGGTCAGGAGATCGAGACCATCCTGGCTAACCCGGTGAAACCCCGTCTCTACTAAAAATTACAAAAAAACTAGCCGGGCGAGGTGGCAGGCACCTGTAGTCCCAGCTACTTGGGAGGCTGAGGCAGGAGAATGGTGTGAACCCGGGAGGCGGAGCTTGCAGTGAGCTGAGATCCGG